CATCAGACATTCTGAGTTCTTATAGAGGGTTATTGTGTTTTTATTGCCGGTAAGGTGGGTGGGTGTAGCTCAAGGAGCACGAAGGTGTTACATCATTCCTGCGGTCTACATAATACATGTAAAGGAGAACGTTGGACCTCGCTGCTTACTGGCTGTCTGTGGATCTGACACTCTGGGGGCCCGACCACTGTTTAATGTGCCACGTTCACGCGAAGGATTTCCAGGTCTCTTGTGCAGGTTCAAATATTGTTAATCGATCTCGGACAAAAAGGGAGTTCCCTTGTGGTGGCCGCGCGGGCCCGCAGAATAAGAAAAACGTGTAGAATGTGCTTTGTTTGTTTTATTGTCTTTGTTTCTACGGCTCTGTTGTTCTTTCGCTTTTTTGTCTTGTTTTTTTTAAATATTGGATTGTTTTATTTCGCATCGGGATTTTGTCATTTTGTGTGTTTTCCTTACACCGTTTATAGTGTCTTCTTACTTATTACACGGGGCCATATACGAGTTGGACCCCCCCCCCCCCAAACTCCCGACTAAAAGTTAATCATCTAACGGATAAAGTCTTTCTAGAAGTACATAAAAATTTCTCGGATTCGACATCAAAAGTCCCGTTGAGTTTTGAGACTGTCTCTAACCAACTCTGTAGACATGGCCGGTGGGATTGACATACAGTCGACAACGAATGAATTGATGTCGTCGTGGGAGTTTTAAAAAAAAAATAGATAAACTCATATGAAGTTCAACTTAACCGTTGGGACCTGTAAAGAAGAAGAGGAGCTGAGACCCGAGAAAAAGATCAACTGTTTACTGAACCGAAGATGAGCTGAAACGAGTTCAACACTAGTGGAGTCGATTATACGGCGTAGTAACGTGATACGTTGCGTTGGCATGAAAGCTCGTCAGTTGGAGAGGATAGAGCTCTGAAAACACACTACTTACCTGTCATGACAGAATCTATTTGATGACTTCTAAAATCGGCAATACTGCCATAGTCAATATAATGGACTCAATTACAGCCTTGTGAAGAGAAAAATAAGAAGGCATTTCCACTATGTTTGATCAGTTTTGCAATGATGGCTCGTGGATAATATTATGCGTCAACGGAGATGGAAACATAATCATTAATCATCACATGTGTGGTAAATGAGGGGAAATTGGCATCTTCTTGTTCACAAGAGTTCCCCTCGTCACCGCTGAGAGCCCCAGCCTGAAAGAAGACAAGAATCTAAGGCCGTGCTGTATTGAGCTTTCCAAAAATGATTTCTTCAGGACCCCACGTCAAAGGTCGTTTGAAGAAGGAACAAAGCTATGTCAATCAATAGTGAAAAACGCCCTGATACTGATAGTGATAGTGTGAGCAGCGCTTACACGTGTGGGAAATTAAAATATCTCCTTGTTCTTTAAATATTATGCAGGGGAACTGCATGCACTCATCCCGATAAAAAGAATAGTTATGGTGTCGTGAAATCGTGAACTGCCTCCCCCCCCCCCCTCTCTCTCTCTCTCTCTCTCTCTCTCTCTCTCTCTCTCTCTCTCCCTCTCTCTCTCTTTCTCTCTTTCTCTTTCTCTCTCTCTCTCTCTCTCTCTCTCTCTCTCTCTCTCTCTCTCTCTCTTTATCTGTCTGTCTGTCTTTTTGTTCCCTTAGAATTACAATAGATGGTTACAGTGCTTGTGGAATCCACACAGGCACTAATATTATTCAGGTTACTATTTTCGATCTCAACTTGTATATATTATCTTGAGAGAAGAATTAGCTGCCTTTGAATGGATGGCGACACTGGTTGGTCTATATATTTTCTTTCCTTTGAACGTTTGTCTGTCTATCGTACTCTTTCCCAGCATCAAATGACCGTCATTGTATCGATGTGCTCCTCCTTGTTCTAACAAGAATCAAACAAACGAAATAGCTGCCTGTGCGCTACTTGGCCCTTTTCCCACTTCTGTCGCAAGAGCGGGGTTTTTTTTTTCAGCTGAGTTAAGCCGCTGTTTGGCACACTGTGTTGGCGACGTTTTGGTCAAAGAGTGTTCACACTTCTGCGTGTTATGACGATGACGTCGACGCTACTTGGCCTATTGAACAAAAATTTTGCAGAAGCGGGAATTGCTTCCTCCTAGCAATATTTAACTATACTCACTGCTTCAGCACTTTCGGGGAAGAAGACAACATTATACATGTATACTATATGGTCGATTTTAAGGACAAGTGAACTAACCCAGATTTCGGGGGTTTCCAGAATTCTTGGCTTACACCAAAAGTGGGCATTGCCTTACCTATAGGAGAAGTTTGGTTTCAATCATTGGTGTGTATATTTGTTTGGAGAGAAAACTCTCCTTGTCTTTTAAAGAAACGGAACAAGGGGCAAAAACTTTACCTTGGATTTTCTCAAAACAGCATTTTCGGGATAGCCCCCTTGTGCTTAAAAGCGACCATATATAGGGGGAGAAAGGGTTAAAGTAAACAAGTTGGATGGAGTGGGGTGGGTGGAGGTGGGGGTAACCAAGTAGCTGCGGTGCTTATTGTTGGGAACCCATTCGCCTATTGTGGTCACAAATGACTCTCTTCTGAAATGATTGACTTTGGGACATTGGTTGCAAAATCTTAGTAGACGGAGAGTAACATGAACATACCAAATGTCAGGATTTTGTGAAACTATACAATATATTTAT